ACAGAATGATCCGCTGGTCCCTAGAAGGTTGGACCAGCTGCTAGCTATATACACGCAGTATCGTAAGCAGATCGAACTTGCTATGATGTAGATGGCGTAGTATGATGCAAGTGGCAAGATAATGCCTTGATTTCAAACCTGATATGACGTTGGTGCTGCTATGTTCGGCGATGTCATATCTTTAGGGCTAGTTATCGCTAATTCCGGCCTAGCACTGGCACCTTAGTGCGGGTTTCTTACAATTCTCTTTTCAAAGACAGCTCAAAACATCTGTTTAACCGTCTTTTCATATTTTATTATATAAACATTTCTATGAGCAAGCTGTTATTCTGATTGATGAAATGTTTATATAAAAATTATATTCTTTTCACATTCAACTGTGCATTCATTAAATCATCTGACTCTTTCTCAATCAAAGATTTGAAAATGCTCATACTAATGACTTTATTCAAAACATTGAAAAGTATGATAAGATTGTATTTCAGAGTATCTGTGTTGCCTTCATTTTCATAAACTCATATGATGTAGAAGTTTGTGAGGAGATCAAACTTTAATAATATTATCTATACTGATTAAGAAATCTTATTGAATAGTATGAAGATTTTTTAATATTTGATTATAGAGATTATTTTACTATTTCTCTGTAAGTTTATATGATGTATCAGATTGAGATTTGAATTTATTATTAAAATACGAAGCTTCTCATCAGATGGTGATTTTGATGATTTCAAGAAAAATCTCTAAACAATGAGCATGAATCTGTATGTAAGATCATTTAATTGATTTTAATTCACATATACATGATTATATTTGAGAGAATAGTTTTTTTCAAAACATTATAAAGATGAAGAAAGCTGTGAAGAAAGATGTGAAAAAGAATGTAGAAAAAGAAGAGAATATTGAAATATTATCATTTTAAAAAATAAGCAGATGTAAAAAAGAGGTAAATCATATGATAAAAGCAGCATTTCAATATAACTGAGTTTGAATTAGTGATATTTTGACATCACAGATGTGGCAAAAAGAGGGGTTTCAAATTTAGTATTTGACATTGTAAATCACAGATCAATTTTATCTCAGTAAGTTCAAATCTTTTATAATTTCAATTGCAACAGCATGACATTAAATTACTTTAATTACAAGTTATACGCTCAGAGTAATTTTCATCAGAGGGTTTGAAAAGAAATGATTCATTCTTCTGTAGAAATTGTTGAGATTTTCATAGATTTTTCAAATTGTTCAACTTTGACTTTCAATTACACAATCATCATACGTATTTGATATTTGTGAACCACTTTAGCTTGTAGCTAAAGAGAAGAAGAATATAAATATATAATTTTTATATTAAAAAAATCAATATTTAATATAGATGTATCTTATTGAAAATGATCATTTTTTTTTCTGATTAAAATCAAGTAAATAGCAGATTGTTCCTGTGTTTAAAAAAAAATGAGTTGACTTTGAGGTGATACTTCATATCTAAGAAATGAGAATATGAAAATAAAAATTGATACTGTTGTAAGAACATTGATTTTCCTAGATCTCAAGATGATACAGAGATGCTGAATAGATGAAATTGATTTGATATTCTCACTTATATCAAAGGTATAGAGCAAATCATTCCTGTGTTGCTAACAAATTGAAACTGTTTTTTCTCAGACACTTCACAGAATAATTGCACATCACAGAATTAAAGACTTATTTAAGTTAACTCATTATCAATTTGAGATTAGCTTGTTTAAAGAGTGACTAATCATTAAATCAGTGTTAAAACAGCAATTATCCTGCGAAGCGGCTGAGCTTGCTGAGATAAGGTCAACCCCGTAAATCAAATTCTCTAACCATAGCATAAAACCCTTCGCCAAGCTGAAAGTTGAAAGTACCCCTCGCATTGTATCATATCCTGCCTCGGTTAGATTCTCTGATATGGAAAAAAAATGAAGAATGGGTTGGCAGGCAACAAGTTCACTTTAACTGACAGTGTCAAGAATAAGTAGATGTCAATAGGACTGAGGCAAGAGGTGGATGAATAATAGGAAATTTGTACTTCTTATGCTCATATCCAGGGGGAAAAAAAAAAGGTCTCAAGGTTCATCCTAATCATATTTCTAAAAATAAAACCAAAGGCAAGTATAAAGGGTCATTTGGAACTTAAAAAGATGCTCATGAATATTATCTAGATCGTATCTAGAAAAGGAGAGATCACCATCACAAACTACAAGACAATTTATACGTTCGGACCAGCCTGCACTACAAGCACACTCGCTTGGACGGCATTCGACGTTGACGTCATCGCCTCGCCAAGCGCACCGAGTGCCCTCTTTGCTTCCGAACCGATCTCTCCTGAGGACGACAGTCCTGCGGATGTCAGTGTGCCAGTGACCACGTTACTACGGCCGACGATGACCAGGTCGCCGGTATTTTCCTTCGAATTTCCAACGTCAGCTTTTGCGGCGTCGAGGACAGCAGTGACTATAGTTGCTGGCGCTGTTGTAAGATCCTGGAAAATCACACGGGAACTGAGTGCCTCTGGTATGGAATCACGGAGGGTATTAAAGAAGGAATTATCAGTATCCTTATCCTGACAGGTTGAAGTTGATGGCGTATTGGGACCTCCTTGCGCAGGAGAGGCGGCGCTAGTTTCATCGTTTGTATCAACATGCAAAATCGTAGCAGTTACGGCTGTGTTTTTAGCTAGCTGGAGGACGAGGCGGAGTGCAACTTTATCATCTGCACCCCCAAGGTAAGGAAAGAAAATATGGTGTCCTTGGTTCAGAGCCGGAGACAACGTAATGTCGGTTGCTTTATAAACACTAGTACCGCTCATGGAACGGCTCAAATGTCCAGGTTGCGGCCTGGTTAACTGTGGTCCGCCAAACCCTTTGTTAACAAAAACTCCAACAGGGCATTTCGCCTGTTTCAAGACATTAGACACAAATGCAGCATGAGGTCCGCTCGAGAATTTTTCTGTTTTATCGTCGAAGAGGAGAATCTGATGTTCACTCATGACCCCTGTTTCGCTCCAAGGAAGAAGAATAAAATCTGATGAGAGATCACGAGCCTTGTTGACAATGGTCTCGGCGTACGCGTGCTCAGGAGAAATAACGACAGCACCAGACACAACAAGTGTGTTCAGCTGGCTAAAGGTCCTGAACGTATTCAGGATTGGGTCGCTGAAGCTGTAATCACGAACTTCTGATACCTTCATTACACTAGAATCACGGTCCGTAAGTTCAATTAAACGAAGCCCATGAACTTCCACAGGGCGTTCTTTGCTGGCGGGGATCTCGTTTTTCCGGTCCTCATGGCGATGGTGGACCTTACTGCTAGTAGTTTTTGTATCATCTCCAAGACCCAACAGAGAGACAAAGGTAAACAGCCCTGCCAAGTTGTCGAGTCGTAAATAAACGAGGAGCTTCTGGGTAGATGAACCTCGTGCTTTCTGCTGGGCGATACCTGAACTACCTGAAGGGTCACTCTCAGACGAGATTTCATTTCCATCCCAGTCGATCTCGCCGCGCCTCCACCTCTCCATTCTATCTCGATACGGCTCCGGGTACAGATAAAGAGTAAGCGGTGTCGTAGCAAATGTAGTAGCAAGCGCCATGACGACGAATATCGTAAAAGTTCGGCTGCTGAGAATTTTCGCTTGAAGACCGATGTTCTACCCAGTTGGTAAGCCAGATCGTTTCCGAACAGATGGAGGGACAATTATGAAAAAGGTTTTACCTACCAGGACAATAAGTTCAACCAACCCCTTACAGCTCATTAATACGCCAATAGCAGCACTTTCCCTCCAAACAAGACCATTCAGTCGAGACGCAAGCATCCCTCCAGAGACTTTAGCTACAAAAGCAATGACGATAACAGCGATCACGTAACCCCAGATTATTCCGGTATCCAGCAGCCCAATATTAGTGTTAAGCCCAGAAAGCGCAAAGTATAGAGGAAGGAAGATGGCTCCGATTAAATCTTCGATCTTCTCCGTGGTCTTTATGGCAAACCCTCCTTCATGCGGGCAGATGAGTCCGACTAAAAACGCACCAAAAATTGCGTGCACACCTATAACCTGAGTAAAGAATGCAGCACCCAGTGCGAGAAGTAAAGTCAGCGCGACCACAGACTGATCAGGGCCATTATGTAGACTGCCAGTACGCTTCAGGTACCAGATGAACACGGGCCGAACAGCGAAAGTTAAGAATAGGACGAATCCAACACAAGTCAGCAAGACCCAAAGGGCAGTCAGTCCAGTACTTGCGTTGACAAGAGCAACGCAGAGGGCGAGGAGAATCCAGCCAACAATGTCGTTACCGACTCCAGCAGAAAGCACGATCTCGCCTACTGTCGTGTTGAGGAGTTCAAGCTCCGTTAGGATACGGCAGAGGACAGGGAAGGCCTATTAAAATGAAAATTAGTTACAAATATGAGAAACCAATAGCATTGGAAACGAAGGGGCTAACCGTGATAGCCATTGCGATACCAATGAAGAGAGCGTAGGTTCCAAAACTGATCGGGGTCAGAGATGGGTCGTCTCTGAATTCGTTGTACAAGCCATATGAAACTGCACAGCCGAACCCGAACGGTAGGACCATTCCCGCTGCAGACACACTTACGGCAACCCTCCAATTGCTCAACATGGAGCGCATATTTGTTTCAACGCCAATCATAAACAGGTAAAGAACCAGTCCTAGGTTGGCCACGAGATTGAGATTGGGTATCGATTCATCCGGGAAGATCGCAGCACGGAATCCAGGTATCCTTCCCATGACTGACGGACCTAGAATAATGCCACCAATAACCTCAGATATGACCCGAGGCTGGCGAATCTTTGAGAGAGGGTAATGGAGAGCCCGGCATATGATAATGATAAGGCCTGCCTTATCGAATCGAGGTACAACAAGCATTAGTTCGGCGGCCACCATGTAGTATATCCTGGATGAGGAACGTATTGCGAAGAAGGCTTACTTGAATGATGAAGAGAGTGATGGGGTTCTTGGGGTCATATTTCGACGGATTAGAATGGTCAAAAATCCCTCCCTGAGGAGTTGCCCTCACTGTAGGTGTTGGGGAAGCCATCGCAGTCGTGGTTGTAACTGAAGCCATGATCCACCAGCGACGACCTCGAAACCCTACACAAATTCAGACAAAAGAGCTGAGGAAGAGGTCGGAGAATAAATAAAGCGTCCCTTTCCATCCCGCCTTCATACGGGCTTCTACTGGGGGTGGGAGAGAGGAAGGAAGAAGAGATATCGGGAGAACATCAGCAGCTCTCTAACCTCCCTCCATCAGAAGCTTCAAGGCAAGCTGTCGTTGGTGGCTGGTGGTTAGCTCGGCGCTAGTCATAGAACCCGACCGATAATGATGCCACTATTTTTCGCATCAGGCTTAGAGAGAAAGCTGAAACCCATTTCACCGTGCTGCATACCCCACCATGCGATAAGGCGTGTGATGGTTGGCTGGTTGTTGGCTGGTTGTTGGTAGTTGGCTTGCGATGTCCATCCGCGTGGAAGAGTCCAAGCGAGGCTCATGAACGCCAAGCCTGGCCTTTTCCCGCCTGACTTCGGGGACTTGGCCCGCCGGCGTGACTTGGCTTGATTTATGGCGGGGGATTTGTTTCGATGCCATCCACAGGTGGACTTGCGCCCATACATATGGGCGATCGTTCTCTATCATGCGCCATGAGCCAATCTCGCAAGGCGGGGCATCTGCTGTCTCTTGATATTGGTCATGTCGCTAGCCTTTTCCGCCGTATTTTATCATGGCAACGAGTTCTCAATTTACCATGTTTCGGAATGACTTGATTGCGCCAATGTCGCTCGATCTACGAAAAACCGAAAAACACCCTTACATTCATATGTCAATCACGACGGATGAAGCTGTGAGATACCATTCATTGCATCCCCTCCCCTCCCCCCCCGGGTGCGCTCAACAACGGAACAAAAAGCCACACAAACTCACACAACGCGTGTTTCGATTGACGTAAAGTGACGATAACTCACTTCGGAAACTACAACGCTAAATATACGGGTAGGAGAATGCTCGACAGAGATAAATCCAGAAGGACCATCTCAAAGCTATGTGGTTTTTCCACATCCTCTCCTTCTTCTGAGCCTGCGCAGATCAAACTTTTCAGTCGGGGGTCTAAGCAATTGCTCTGGTGCGGTGCAGTGCAATGCAGCGGGAAGAAGAGCTGGGGGCAATAATACAAACAAACTTTCAGCATCAAACAGGTTGAAAGAGGAGAGGAGGGGAGGGGAGAATGTGGTGATTTTAAACCAGATAATGGAGGAATGGATGCAGGTGACAGGCTCTATAATAGTTCGCTGGGATCACCAATTTAATGGATATGTCTAATCCGTATTGCTGGGACCAAAGAACCCGGCACACCGAATGGGGAGGGAATGAATGAAAGGTATATATATGGAAAGGAAAAAGAATCATAGAAGTTTACCCAGAATAATAATAGGCGTAGAAATTGCTTTTTACAAACGAGGACATAATAAGGCAATGATAAGGATGATAATAATAATAATAGTCAATGAAGATATGAATATATGAAATAAAAACTAAAGTAATACCACGTCACGACGACGAACCCTGCTGTTGCTGCTGCTGTTGCTCAACCGCTCTCCCCCACACTTTCTCAAAACTCGGAGTGCCATCGCCGTCACCGTCATCATTACCCCCACCAGCGGGCGGCACCGACGGATGCTCACGCTGTTGGATCCCCAGGGCATCAGCGCTCTCCTCACCCCCTATATCCGCCACGTCACCTTTCCCGCCGCTGCCCAACTCGCCAACGTCCGCCCTCGGTGCAGGGGAACCACTTGAACCCTGGCGCGACGCATTATTGGCATTGTCAGCATTTCCACTAGTAGCCGTCGCTGAGGGAAAGTGTTCTCCCGACCAAATCGAACAGTCCTCCTTGTCCGAGCCGCGGAGAGGTAGCGTCACGTCAGCGAAGTTGGTGCTATAGACAACGGCGGCGAAGGCTTCTAGTTCGCGCACGCCTTGTTCCATGGCTGTGAGGTAGTCATTGGGGGGTTTGGTGCCGTTTCCGATGACATGGGCTTGGCGCGCGATTACGGCGAGGATAGTTGCGAGCTTGGCCTTAGAGGGTGTAGTGGGGGCGGAGGTGTACGTGGCCGGAGTGAGGGTCACGGATGAGGAGAAATTTTGCAGGTGTTGTTGCTGCTGATGGTGCTGTGGCGTGGAGGATGAGTGGTGGTGAGAAGGAAGGGGATTATTGAAGGCTTCGATGGCGCAGTTTTTATCGATTAGGGTGGAGAAGGCTTCGTTGTTGAGAAGGGTAAATATTTGGCTGAATTGTGGGGAGTCGATGAGGTCGGAGGTCTCATCTAGGAGATGGCGGAGGCTGGAATTGCTTTGTGGTGACGAGGCTTCCGAAGCCGAGAGGACGCCAGATTCCTCCAGGACGTAATTCTCCTGATCCCGCGAGGGGAGGAGATATGGTAGCCACATGGTAGATCTGTAAACGGCGTTTTATTTTTTATTTTTATTTTTTTTGATTTAGTATGCTATCAACCAAAATAAAATAAAAATAAAAAACGAAGTATACTAGGTACTATGTTAGAAGTGGCAGAATGCGGGGCCTCACTTTCGCTCTTCCTCCGTAGCACCTTCAATCCTCTTCCGTACAGCGAGTGTCAATTCGGATAACCTTTCCTGCGTGATATCCTCTCGTGGATTTACTGGTCCAAATACATCCTTGACAGCTTCCTTTGTCTTTTCCATCAACTGTCGCCAGCCACGGTGTAGCAGCCACCAACTAAATGTTAGAAAGCGACGATTTGTTTCGAAGTCATTGCCAAAGGCATGTCCAATGCGTTCGTCATCATGGTCCTCAAGATTGATAACTGACTGGTCCTGAGGAGGGGACGCGAGCGATACCACGCTCGAGAGGTAATTTCGTCTGCCGAGGAGGTGAGC